AGGTTCTCTCAAATGAAAACAACAAAAAGTATCATCAATAGGGCTTTGCTGTGTTGGAAAAAACATTCTTCTAGCTTGAAAAAGGCTTCTTACACTTGCTTTTGGCTTATTATTTAAATTATATTGAATAATAACGAAATTTACTTTCAATATTTAGCAGCTTGAAAGAATTATTTTTTTAAAAGAAAGAAGAAGATATGTTTGATCACGTTACACGAAGATTTAAGATCAATATAAATCTTAATTTATTATAATGACATAATCTATTCTATAATTAATATGATACACGAGATCTTAATATCTGATTTTAATTACTCACTCTCTTCTTTCATTTATACAATATTTATATAAACGTAATTACTTTTATCATATAAATTAAAGAAAGATAAAGAAAGAAAGAATTAAAGAATTATTATATTTGGAAAAAGATAAATAGTCTTTGATTTTTAAATATTAAAAATAAACTATTTTAATTCATAATTTAAAAAAACTTCATAATTTATTACATAATTGTGTTTTCATTTTAATCGATTTAACGTTTCATTTAATCAAGATACTGTTTCAATTATCATTTGCTAAATTTATTATGTTCTTTATATAGACTAATATTCTTTTTTATGTTTTTTTTTTTTGCAATATATCATAAATCAAATCTTATAATTAGTAGATAACAATAAAATGTTTGTTCACTTAAATATGGATATGCACGGGATTGAATTTGGAATATCACTAGTTCCAGGAGTTGTTCCTTTTCGGATTCCTTCGCTACAGGAAGTCGTATGAAACCCAAATAAAAGTAACCTTTATGGACATTCTAAAAGCTCAAAAAATTTCTTATGGCTGGCTGTTTATTTTTGAACTGGTGGAAAATACAAAAAAAATGTTGAATCATGCACTCTATAATTATCAAATTATATTTTGATCTTCAAAACAAGAAGCACCTAAATATATCGAGATGGACATTCAATGAAAGTCTATCAACCTAGAAAATACAAGTAACATGAGCCTAAGTAATAATTAGTTTTAAACAAAACTTCATTTTTTATTAATTATAATTATTATTTATTTAAGAAATTGTTAAGCGTCCATGTGGTTGGTTACAAAAAAGGCCAAGGTAATGATTATAATCACAATTATAACGATGATAATAATGAAGATGATGACAATAACAATGAAGGCAATGAAAATAATGACTATGTGTAAGTGTAATTATAAATCAGAATATTTTTAAAATTTCTATTATATTAATTTTATTTAAATTTATAGGATGATGAAAGTTAAGGTGGAATGATAACTATACCTGATAATATGACGGATCCATTTTTCATGCTAGCCAAAGTCATTAGTAATAATTCTTAAGCTTTAAATATTTTTCTTCTAAATTTATGCATAAATATTCATGTAATTCTAATTGTTTTTAAATAAAAAAAAATTGTAAAAAAATGTGTTCTTTTAATTAATTTTATCGTTGTTGTTGAATAAGAATTAGCTTTATTTATCAATAATGTTAATTTAATGCATATGCTTCGAAATATCTAATTTTTTATTAAATTTATGGATTAAACATGAGTTGATATTACATACATAACTATTGATTCACATAGATTATATTAATAAAAAATTCTTTAAAAAATAATTATTTAAAATCTATTAATCTTTTCATATAACATTATTATTAATTTCCATCTTATATATTTTGACATGTAGAGAATGGATTTAAATGAATCACCCAATATATTATTTATAAGAAATTCTACACTAATGAATAAAAATACTTAAAGAATAGTAGTGTAAAACGTGTCATGCAGAGTAGACATTTTTATTGGGGAAGCTTTTGTATTCAAATTATATTAGATTTTTAGTCTTCGTGAAAACTGGTCGAAGAAATATTATTACCTTTCAGTTTATTGCGTTAGTGTTACAGAAGTTATTACTTTTTAAAAAAATATTTCTTTATGTGGTCAATGGTACGACATTTTTCAATCCTTTTTTATATTATTATAGTATTATTATTTCTTATTTCTTTGTCGTACCAGTGTAACCATTTATCTTTTTCATTTTAGAATATTATCTAATAAATCAACATTTGACAAAAATTTTGCATTCCCAAGGAGAATTGGGGAATTGCCACTAGATATTCCCATAGAATAATTCCCAAACTGGAAATATATGAACTCTTATTTCTGCCAATCGTGTTTAAAATTTCTAAATATTGAGGTCAATATACTGAATTGAACCAAGAGTATTTGAAAATCCAAAACATTAAATTTAATGATTCCGTTATGAATAAGAGTTCTAATTAATAAATAAAAGACTTTATAATAACACATTTGTGTAATTTATTTTTAAGTAAACCTGAATATGCTCCTTTATTAATAGCTTTCTCATGAATGGAAAGAACCTTGGAAAAGTAATGTATCCAGACTATGGCCGCAAGATTTTCTTCAGACAAACACAATTAAGGAAAATGTCTGTTCCGAAAGCTGTTTGTACGCAGATCTGTTCTTACGTTTTCTCCGAGGAGATTATTATCACGTGGAAGTGTTCAACGAATGAGAACTAATTTCTACTAATATGCATGTGACTAAGCAATGTCCAGTCCGATCTCCTCGTCCGGTATTAAAAAAATATTTACTGAACTTTACGATTGACTATTACTATAAATCAATTTATCTTGTTAAAAAGACTTACGAATAAATCGAATTGAAATATTTATTTATTCCATTTCGGCTAAGAATCCTGTTTTGGGAGAACAAAATGCATTAAAAATAAGTGACTAATTTAATTGTAATAAAAATTAAAAATATTTATTTAATAAAAATCTTAAGCAATTTACAAATATAAATAAAATAATATAATAATAGATTATGTTAAATTGAATTCAGAAATATTAATGTAATAAAAATTAATGGTAATAAATAAAAAAAATTGATTTTGTATATAGTTAAAATTCTTCGTCTTTTCTTATTTAATTTTGATTAATATCTACAAATATTATACTAAATAAAATTTATTGGCCGATTTTCCATCTATATACAGTATATATTTTATTTATAATTAATACATTACTATAATTTATACTTTAATTCGCATCACGTTGACAAAATTTTCCCGTAGCCAAATATATAGTTCAAATCCACCTTCTACCATCTCTTTAATATATTGAAAACTATCTATTCTAATCATTATCTGCAGTTATTTATCTATTATTCCATTGCCATTTACCCATTTTTTTTCTGAAACGTGTTGAGTTGTTAGAAAAGCCTTTCCCAACTTCTTATTGGCCACTAATACCACCACATTCAAATGCTTTCACCTGACCTAAATAATTTTGGACTTCGTAATCTTCTTTTTCAGCTGCTTTAAACCATTTAATTGCTTTTTGATAATCATTATCTACACCAATACCATTGATATACACAATGTAACATTTAATATTGCATTAATATTTCCAAGATGTGATGTTTTAATTGTTGATTGACAGTAAAATATTTCTTATTTATTGATATTATTATTTTTACTCTTTGTAATACTTAATTTGCTCGATCCGATATTTAAGAAACTGTAATACAATTTGTATTTATTTAAATACACCAATTGTTTAATCTTTATACCACGGAAATCCTTTGGCTACACCTTCTGGTGTTCCAATTCCACTTATATAACACCAACCAACTCTACATTAAGCAACATGAATTCCTTTTTCTGCAGATTTTAAATATAATTTTAATGTTTTTCTTCATGTTTTCCGAAACCAAATCCATTCCTATGACAAAGATTGTAAATGATATAATTATTAATATAAAATACTTCTATAGCTATCGCTATTCTAGTTATTGTATTTGTTTCTTTTAGTTGTACTTTTAAATCTCTATTTATTGTTTTGACAATGCTTACGTGATTTTTTCTTTTTACTATCCGTTGTAATTCTCTTTTCTTTTTCCCAGAAAATAAAGTTTTAAGTCCCTCTTACCATTTATTCCACATATCTTTTTTTCGGAGTATTAAATGTAGCATCTAATATTTTGGTAATTATACTGTTGACTTTAATGAATTTTTAATATTTATTCCACATACATATCGATGAAGCTGAAATCTGTGCTCTTTAGTAGATGCTCTGTTAATCTGAATGTGGGCTGTTAAGGAGCTTATAGCTTAGCTTACTTTTATTTTTATTTTTTCTCCTCCGATATTTTTTGATGTATGATAGAGATATTAGACGTGAAGAGTGTTTTCTGTTGCTATTTTACAAAGATGCATTTGTTATCTTCGTAGAGGTCAGGACATCTTTCCATGATGTATTTGTAATCATCTTATGTTCACTTTCGTTGACCCTCATTTGTTGTTAAGTTATCTGTAATTGTTCCATTGTGTATGTATGTGGCCAGTCCGTTCCCATGAATGATGTTGACTCCTATTTTATTTTGTTGTTGGACTTTACTAAGTTCTTAATGGATATGTCAATATGTTTATGTGCCCATTCATAATTTGCAAATAATTTACCAAGTCTATATTTAATTGAACTCTTTCATTATTGGATGCTCCCGATTTTTCCAATTCATCTTATGTATGTTCCCAGTGTGTGCTTCTATCTTGGTTAGCTCGATCTCCATTTTGCTAGGCTTTGTTTTGTGTATGGTTGTGAAGCCATTGCTGATATGCTGGCACCGCTGTCAGTATAAATATTGACCGGACCTTTGGTTTGGGAGGTAATAATTTAACACTATTAAGAGAGCTTATAGTTTTGCTTTTGGGAATTAATAAATCAATCTTGTTGATGAAGAGGTTCTGTGTTTGAGTTGCTGATGATTATTTTAATTTTTATTCCCATTTGTTGCTTTGATTTTTGAACGTATTTAAGGGTGTTATTTGTTTGGTTATTACTGATCCGTCTGTATTGATAATGAAATTATAATACTTGTTAATTTCTGTTTGCATTGTGATATTAAATTGATTACTGGACTTCTAGTATGGAACTTGGTATCAAATTTCTTGATTTTCTAAGTATGTTCTGTCCCATTGGTGAAATCATGAGCCTGATGTTTTTCTTCTTGTCCCTTATATTTGAACTTTGATGAAAAACTTGACTCACCGGTAATTTTTGCTAATTCTTCAACTCTGTTTTAAATGTACAATCTTGACTTTTTTGGGATTGGAGTTGTTTCTTTTTTCCGAGATATCAGTTTCTGTAATCTCACAGCCCTTACATCGAGTTATTACTGAGTTAGGAGTTTCGTCTCGCGTTTTGCTCACGAAATATTTGATTAAAATCTCTTGACTGCACTCGAGGTTGGGTTTCCTTTGAATTCTTCCTATTGTTGTTTCCAAATTTTTTAGGGGGTAATTGTTTGACTTCGTTTTGCTTTCTCTTTTTCTAACTTAGTTTATCGATTTTAGAAAATTTATATTATCTTTCCAATTTAATCATTCCATACTTCGATATATGTCATCAGGTCTTCATACCGTTTGGCTTTTTTACTGGAGATGTAATTGTAGTGTGTGGCTGAGGTCTGAATTTAGTGATTGTTCTAGATACAATATTCCTTGGCTTCTTATGTATTTTTGTTTTTAGTATACCTGTCTTCGTTACCAAGTTGTATTCGAATTCAATAGAGTGTTTACCTTCCCCATTTGGATTATTAGAATTGTGTGGGACGTGTTGTATGTTAAGTAGATTTTTTTAACTAATACTTTGATTATATATATATTTAGATTTTTTTTGGTATCCCCGAGAATCTGTCTATTACTCTTTGTTTCAAAAAGATCGTGTAGACCAAGATAGTTCTATAATTGTTGTACTTGAATTGATGCTAACATTATATATAAGCTATTTTCGTTTACTCTCTGTACGATTCTGATACTTATATTTGTATTTGCCTATCTGTAGATAGTGATAATATTTAGTTTTCATTTGAAGGAAAATAATATTTTCTAAAAATAAAAGAAGATGAAAATAGTTTTTATGATTTATTAATAATTTGAATTTTGACAAAAAACAACTTCCTCCTCTACAACTTAACATCCGAATATTCTTTCAACTTTCTCCACCACTTCTCTCTCCTAGTTTCATACTCCCTAGATTCTCTAACTTCATTTTCGCTCACGTCACCCTCTTCCTTCCCAAAAAATAAATCAAGTTCTTCCACATTCAATGGATACCACGCCTCCTCAACTTTTTCACCCCCTACTTCACTTTTAATATATTCGACCTCCTATAATATTAGAAATTTAGTAATTAGTGTAATCTTTTATTATTATTATTTATTATTATTACTGCATATTGATTTTAAAAAAAATAATTACTTACAGTATTCATGAATTTTTTTAAAAATATAATAATCTCTCCCCACTGCAAACTCTCCTTTTTAGCTTCTTTCCTTTCTTTTCTTTCTTTGATATTATGTGCTGGAGTATGAAATTTAAAAATATAGTAATAAATATAAAAGTTTTTTTAAAAAAATTACTTATATAATAAAAATTATATTTCGTTCATACCAGGAAAAAATTTTAACCTTTTTGAATATTGAAGACATTTATTGTTTGTAAAAAATTTAAAATTTCAAAAAAGAAATTATTGCAATGATAAAAAAAGGGGTTGAATATATTGAACTATTAATAATTAGCCATCAATCTGATGTAACAATATTAATGACTATTAATTATTACATCAGATTTGATAGTTTAAATGATTAATAATCATTATTACATCAGATTTGAATCATAATAGCGCAGTATAGTTAAGGAGATAATTTATGCATTTTATCAAAAAAAAAATCAGTTAATAATTATCATGAATAGCGCAGAAAAAAATTCATGGTAATTGTTAACTGATTTTTTTTTTGATAAGATGCATAATGCATAGTCTAAATTATTTATTATTATTTATTAGTATATTATGGCATAATATGATACCAATAGATAGTATAATTATGGTAAGATTATCAAAAAAAAAAAAGTTAACAATTAACAATATATTATTATATTATAAAAGAAAAATTTATTTGTTAAATTTTATATATTATATATGATAATTTCAATTGAATATTATAAAAATAATTCGAAAATTCATTAAGTTTAACATTATCATATCACTTTATATAATATAATACAAATATTTATCTTTATTCAATTATCTATTGTTAATTTAATTTGTTTTTAATGGTAAGGTAGTTAAATACAACTATAAATTTAAATATTTTGTATATAGAAAGTTATAATACAACTGTGAATTTAAATATTTTATGTAAAAAGTTAAAATACAACTATAAATTTCAACATTTTATATAGAGAATAAAAAAATATTATATTAGATCTACCGAATCAATAGATCTATTTTACTATGAATTTCATATACATATCATACTTAATATATTTGACGAATACACAATTGAAGTCAAATTTTTTATTTTATTAATTTATTGAAATATTGTTTAAGGATTACCTAAATATAGATAAAGTCAAGTATTATCATTATGGGTACTAACGGGGGTACGAATTTGATGCGGGATACATATATATAATTTATAGTAGTCACTACATTAATTAATATAAAATTTTTTGTGTTACAAAATATTATATTAACAAAAAAACCAAGGATTTCCATATTATTATATCAAAAAATCTTGTGAAACCAAAAAATAAAGAATCTTAGGGGAATGCCGTAGAAGAATTTTCGATATAATGTAATAATATGATATTTGACTCAGATTTGTTTCAGACGAAAAAAAAAAGTCCATCAGCCCATCTACCTAATTTGGCTTGAGCACATCGGACTAAGAATCATTAATAATAACTAATTAGAATAATTAATAATTATTAGTAAAATTTTTCGCCAAGCAGAATAAAAGTTGGATAATATCATATGTTATCTATTTATTATGTTATATCAAAATTTCTTCTACAGTATTCCATTATTTTCTTATTAAGTTTCTGTATTTTTTTTGATTCGCAACCTTAGCACATTGATATGAAAATCCTTTATTTTTTAGATCACAAGCTATCATTTTTTTTATTAGTTTCACACGATCAACATTCATTTTTTTTTTAAAAAAAAAACTCTTCTCACTTCTACTCAAGTTTAATAAAACAAGGTACCTTTTGCTGTAAAATACTCTCTGTTACTTCAAGACTTATTTGATTTCCTTAAATCGCGTTATATCTGTTTTTTCCTTACACTACTTACAGCTTAAATTTATAAAAATGCAAGACCTTATCATCTATAACTTCTTTAAAGAAACCGCACCAACATCGTATACTTTGGGAACTTTTATGGCAGACATTGTCATATTAATGTGGAGCTTAATGAAAATCGGAAATTGCAGTACTAATAATTTACGCTTTAAAAATTTTTGCATTGAGGTAATTATATCATTATTTATTTTTATTAGTAAGTAATAAAAAGACCCATACAAATTAAGTTCCAACACCTTTTTTTGAATATTTTAGTTAATTTTGAACGTAAAAATATCAAAAGAGACCGTCTTTATCGCGATTAAATATGTACAAAAGTACATGAAAAGAGGGAACACAGCAAACTTTAAAAATGAATACCAACTTTTTACAATCGCTATAATGGTGGCGCATAAGTGGCATAACGAACCGGTTTATAAGAATAAAACTTGGTCAGATTTATCTCATATCCCTCTAAATGAAATTAATAAGTTGGAAATCGCGTTTATTGAATCTCTAAATTATAAGATTCATATTGGTGGGGAAAAATATTCTTTTTGGTTAAAATGTTTAGCAGAATATGCTAAGACGGGAAAACTCGTTTCACTGTTTGTTGAACGATTCAACAAAAACTACATTCGATCTCCTCCACCGCCACCAGGTTTCGGTTTTGCTTTAAAATCAAAAATTATTCCTACTCCGATAGGATATGAGCGAAAAACTAGATATAGATTATATAGTTTATATGATGGAATTGAATTAGATTTTTTTAAACAAACCCATTATAGAATATATAATTTATATGATGGATTTAAACTAGATTTTTTTAGTTAATCATTTTATTTTAATATTTTTCAAAAATTCTTTGCTTTCATTTTATTTCTTAAATGTCATTCCTAATTTTCTTTGACTTCTTTGCTTTAATTTTTGTAAATAAAATTATCTTTAATATATTCTATCGAAATTTTTTATTTTAGTGTCAAGTTTTAATATATCTTGCTATGTTTTATCTATGAAAAGTGTACGATATATTTATTTATGTTGGTCAGATGTGTGGAAAATCTTTATTTGACTTTCAGATCATTTGTGTTCGTGTAACAATGATGATTTTCTTAATTCTATTTGTAGGAAATTTTTTGGTTATTCGTAATAAAACGAGACAAAAGGTTAAATAAATAAGTATAAAGGAATAATAAAATCAAAATAAAATATATTAATCATCTCCTTCATATTTTTGATTCGATGAAATAATTTACTGCATCTGATTTTTTGATCCGATGAAATAATTTACTCATCTGATTTCTTTGTAATTTAACTGGTAGCTTCTCTTTGGATGCTATAGTCAGACAAACAGATGCTGAGTCCATTAATAAATATTGTACTACAATTGTCATGCTTTCTGCCATTTCTCCGGTCTAATAAATATTGTACCAGTTTAATAAATTTTGTGACAATCTGGTTTAATAAATATTGTACAACAATTGTCATGCTTGCTGTCATTAGGATCAAATCCATCCTCCGGTTTTAATAAACATTTTACAAGTATTGTATAACAATTGTCATGCTTTCTGTCTTCGGATCAAACCCATCTAACAACAATTGTCATACTTCTATCATTAGGATCATCCTACTATTTGTGCAACAATTGTCATGCTTTCTGTCACCCCTCCTCCGGTTTTATCTAACAAAATTCATCCTCCGGTTTAAAAGTTGAAACATTTCAATAAAGAATTTATGAAATTTATGAAAGAATTAATTAGGAAAATATTGTGAGTAATATTCAAAAGTTCAACAATAATCATCACCTTTATTAAGAGTCATTTTTTTTTAATTTAAACTCAAGTTCAAATGATGACGAAATTTAAGTAATTAATACGTAATGATTGTGATTAATATTTTTAAGAAATAAAAAAAAAAACTTTTTTAACAGAATAACAACTATTAGATTCATAATGAATAATAATATTTGGACATATTTTTTTAAGAGAACGAACCCTTTTAAATTCTATCATTTCTTAATCCCTTTATATCTATTACTTTACTTTTTGACCATAGAATTACATTATATTGATTATTGTTTTTCATTAGAATCAAATTTAATTTTATTTGTAAACTTCAAAATATTGCATAAACATTTGAGCTTATTATGAGTCACGTATAAATAAAATATTTTTTTTGTATTTTTATATTTTATCATTATTTGTAATCATATATATTATCGAATATAATCATTATTATAATAATAACTATTTTTTCATATAAAAAAAGAATAAAATTTTATTGATAATGCAAATATATATATAATAATTATAATAATAATAAATCTCCCCCAGCAATATACAACAAATAGAATTTATAATTTTTTATATTTTTTAAAAATTTAATAACAACTTACACTCTGCGTAATGAAGTCAACTGTAATAAAATAGAAATAAATTTTAGAATATGATAAAAAAATATTAATAAAAAATAAAAAAAAATATACTTACGAGACATTTTATTTCTCTTATATCCCCCTGGGCCGTTATCATTATTATCATCATCCTCACTATCATCGTCACCTTCATTATTATTAATATTTTCATCCCCTTTGCAACCACCTATTAATAGATTTTATTTTTTAATTTATTATTTATAAATTTATTTTTATGATTCGAATTTAAATAAATCAATAAATCAATTACATACCTTCGATTTCACTGTGCTCTCTCTTTTTGCCCCGCTTTTCATATTCGACTGAAACTGCAGCCAGCATGTGTAATAAATCTTTATGATTTTTGCCAACTGCAGTTTCTATTTCACTTTGATATCGGACCACAGAAGTTGTGGCCAATAAATCAAGTGCAGAGTGATCATGTTGTTGTTGTTGTGGCTGTGATGATTGTTGTTGTTGTTGCTGTGGAGGTTGTTGTTTGGTATTTTTTCTTGGCCTACCGCGGCCTCTTTTTAAAATATTTTGTTGTCTTTGTTGGTTATTGGGTTTTCTGGGCCTTCCACGGCCTCTTGGTTGGAGTTGTTGTTGTTGTGGTTGTTGCTGTTGTAGTTGTTGTGGTGATTGTTGCGATGGTTGCTGTTGTTGTGATGGTTGTTGTAGTTGTTGTTGTTGTTGTGGTTGTTGTGATTGTTGCTGTTGTTCTGATTGTTGCTGTTGTTGAAGTTGTCGGGCTTGTTGTCGTTGATATCTAGTAAAGGCCATTTTTATAGAATAATTTTAACTAAAGATTTTTTTGGGCAGGAATATAATTCAAATAACAATTATTTAGAGAAATTGTAGAGTTGGTGTTGGGAATGATTTTTTTTTTTTTGAATCTGATCTGAGAATGAAATATTATCTTATTTATAGAAAAAATTCTGAAATAAAAAAAATTTTTTATCAATAAACGATTTCATCTTTCAAAAATTCATCTTAACCTTTTATTATTAAAAAAAACCGTTAAAAAAAATTTTTTTCATTTCTTATTGCACTAAACAAATTTAGTATAATAACCATAAGGCCTCAGATTAAAATGGAAAAATACATCATGTTCTTTTTTTAAATTAAGCTTTTATTTTTAACATTGCTATTATTTACATTTATGGCATTGCACTGATTATCTTTCATTATTTTCAAAAAAATGCTAATCCACTTTTGATGTAATCTATAACATTTATTGTAATAAAAATTGTAATCAAATAAAATAATAAAGTTTTTTTTTTTTTTTCGGTGCATACTTTTTCTATTTAATTGAAACAATTGATAATATAAACATTATTTGAGTTTAAAATATATCAATTTATTAATAAATAATTTTAAATAATGCACTTTTTTTTTTTAATAATGTGAACATTTCTATTATTTACATTTATTATATTTCTTAAAAAGGTTAATCCATCTTTGAAGTATTAATTTGGTTAAATAAATCATGTAAATCATGTAAATAATGTCAAAGAATCTAGAACATTTTATTGTTATAAAAATTTAATTAACAAAATAATAAGATTTTTTTTCAGGTGCGTATTTCTTTACATTAATAATAACAACTATAATAGTATAAATAATACTGTATATAAATAATAATAAACGAAATAATAATAATATAGTATAGTTGCACGATTTGATTAATTACAGTAATTACATCAGATAATATATACTTAATTCATAAGATGATATGAAATAGTCAATTAAAATAAAAAAATCATTTCAAGATATTTTTTAAATTATTTTATTAATTATAAATCTTTACTTGAATTTACAAAATTATTAAAACTTTTAATAATAATATATCTATCAAATGAGGTAATCATTTTATCATTCGTGCTTATTTTTAAAATCATTGATGTGCAGCAATTTTATTTATTTATTTCGATATTGCAAATAAGTTTTTTTATTTATTTTAAATTATGAATAATACTATTGATATATTTTCCTATTAATCTAATCTTTTATATTTTGGTGTCAATATAATAAATTGGTATAAAATATAATAAAGAGATTCAGTTGAATAGGACAAAAATACTTCTACCTTAGATAACATATTTAGTTATATAAAAGACGTTATAAGTTCTCTTTGTTAGTTAATACCAAAAAGTTTGTTAATATTCCGTAACACAGATTTATAGTGTAAGATCATGAACTTGTCTATAAATAATATATATGACCCCTCGAATTTTTCATATTATTTGTACCCATGACAAAATTTTCAAAGATGATTTGCCTCTAAAGGAAAATATTTCAACCGTTTTCCATCAATATATTATTTTTTATATAATACGTATTAAGTATTGCATCATATTATATATTATTTTTTGTATGTTATATCTTAATATGATAACAAAAAATAAAAAATCTAAATATAATATGTATTTTTTTAATTGTTGGATCATATTATGTATTCTTTTTTTATTTATCTTAATAAACAAACTACGAGAATCTTACTTTGGCACTTGAAAAATTTTTTTCATTTATTTAATCATTTATATCTTATAGCAGATTCTTCGGTTGCAAAAAAGACTAACAGAAACAATGAAATATTAATTTATATTCAAAAGCATCGTTATCCACAACATTCTTCGCATCATCATTAGAAATATTATTTATTGATTTATCACAGTTGTTATAAATTGTAACAGACATTTTTGGTTTTTGTATTTAAATTTCATTATTTATTGATATAAAATTGAATTATAAAATAAGTAAAAAAAAATATTAAAATAATATAATGTGATAAGAAAAAAAACAGCGTAATAAAAAAAATAAAATTCTAAAACAAATCTTAATAAAAAAATTTTTTCACGTCTCTAATATTTGTAAAAGAAAATAAAATAAAAGAACTAGGATGTGTGATTAATTTTAAACTGTAGGAATTACGTTCTTAATAGCATTATACAACTCTTCCGTTGCCTTCGGATTGGAACACTAAAGAAAATACATTAAAATAAGATATAATGAATATAACAAAAATATAACAAAAATATAACAAAAATATAATAAAAATATAATAAAAATATAATAAAAAAGGATTATATAATTACAAAATACAAACCTTAATAGCAAGATGGACGAGTCTCTCACCCTCATATACGAAAAATCTCACAAATTTATCCTGTTTTTCAACATGCATTCCATTAAATAATGCTACGTTTAAAATCACCTTTAATATGTTATCAGCTCGCATAACTATAAATTTATTAAATATTCATTAATAATATAATAATGTTGATAAATAATCCCAAATTTATATTTAAAGTTTACCTAAACGAAATGATTTCTCATTGTTTTTTGATTGATTAAGTTTTAGAAAGCCAACTCCTCTTTCTTTCCATTGACCTTCCATACAATATAATTTCACTCGCACCGTGTGTCTTGTAACCTCATCCTCTTCCCCCGTTAATACTGAATAAATTTAGATGAAAAATTATTATTGTTATTATTATTATTTATCATTATATTATTGTTATAATTGTTTTCAATGATTCTACCTTCTTGTTCTTTTATTAAATTTTGTATTTCCTTATCACCCTCTCCTTTATCATTCTTTTCTTGCGAAGGTTGCTCATCAAAAATATTTCTTTGTGAGCTTATGTTGGCAAACGATTTTCCAGCATATTTTGTTCCCGATCCAAATATGTTTTTTTTCTGAGTTGAGGGAGGAGACATCTCAATTTTTCTCCTTTTGTTTGGGAGTGTTATCAAATCCGAAGTTGATAAGGGTCTATCTCTTTTCATTTCGTTTAAAATTTTTGATAAAATATATATTTTGTGGATGATTTTAAAAATTAATGGTGAGAAAAAAAAATGGAAAGAGAATAAAAATCGAACCCTTTTTATTATTATTTGATCCCTCCTATTATTTACTTGGCATCTAATAATTTTTTTTTATTTCGCATGAGTTTATTATTTCACATTTATATTTTCCTTTTTTGGTTAATATGTGGAATATGTGGCTCATATTATTTATTTATGTGATTATTAAAATATAATAAGATTGTAGATGTCGTTAATCCTTCTTTCTTGTAAAGTTTAATTAGAAATATTCAGATTATAATTATAATTAAACTTTAGTGTATTTTATTATATTATTGCATGTTTGTTTCCTCAGCCGATGATTGATCATATCAGTAAAATTGATATAGTATATTTTATTATAATTGTTATTATTATTTATTATCAAGAAAGTTTTGGCATGATTACATCAGATTTTACTCATATCAGTATTTTAATTATATATTCTAATTGTTAAAATATTTTTATACCGGAAATATCAAATATGGTAAAATGAATTATATGCTATTTATCATATCTGAACTTTATTATTTCTTATTTTTTATTAATATTACAATAAATTTTAAAGAAAATACAAATAGTTGTGCTCCGAAAAAAAATTTTATTATTTTTATTATTACAATATTCTAGAATATTGTGTATAAGCATTTTTTTAAATAATAAGAGAAATCAATGCAATACCAAACATGTAAACTAAAAACTTTTTTATTATGTAAAACTAAAAGCTGGTTTTTTTTTTTTAAAAAAAAATAACATACTAAATAGCTTCATTTTAGTAACTATAATTATTATTTATTAAAGTATATTGATTATCACTGATTATGCATATTAAAAATCCGGACCAAATTCTATAATACTATTACTATTACATCAGATTGATCAACTGGCGAGAACATTCTTCTAACCCACGCTACAGAATATAATTTGAGATTTATAAACAAGGGCAAAATAATTTTTCATTCTTTAGATTCGCTTCAAATAAAAAATAAAAAAACAAAATTATTAACAAAATTATTAATAAATATTATCTAAATTTCATTGCTCAAATAAAAATGAAATCAAATAAAAATTCTTAAAAAAAAGATTTCTTCATACACTCAATAAATTTTACATACACTTCGTTTCCCTCGAAAAAAAATCTACTTATTATAATTCATTAATATAATTTTTATCAATAGAATTTTAATTAAAGTATCTCTATTAATAAATTCTCACATTCTCTATTTTTATTTGTTTATTGACCGTTGAAAATGAAATTAATTAAAAAAATGAATAATCAAATAATCATCAATAACAAATTTTAATAGTTGTTAGTACAAATCGTCTAAAATTCAATAGGCGATTTAATAAAAATAAATTAATATAGATAATCTTAATAATTATACTCATAATTGTTGAATTGTTCAGAAACAGTAGTAATGGTCATCTGAATTATTCATTATCAAATCTTTTCCTAATATAGATTTGAAGACATTACAAACGTTAAATAAATAATTTTTTTCTTTGCTCATGATAATCATGATAACTGAATGACATCAGATTTTTTGTTTCTCATCAATAAATATTTTATTAATTAATATATTTCACTATACTTTATTTACGTTGAAAAAAAAAATACAACAGCCAATCTATCTAATTTAGTAGCACAGCTTGAGTAAGAATTATTAATAATAACTAAGACTAATAATCAATTATTATTAGCAAAAAATTTTTTTTAAAACTCATGTCCAAAATCCATATTTAGATAAAAATTCTGTAATTGTTACTGATTATTTTGATTGATATAATCATATAATTTTTATTAATCAATATATATATTATTGACCAGGCTAATAAATCAAAAGATCAACTTTAGACTAATAAACATCATATGCCGTATCATGATAAAAAATAAGGGTAATCTAGATAATCTGCATCCCAGTACCCAATTATTAGTACCCATGACAAAATGACAATTACAATTGATCGTCCTTTTTATGACTTTTTATGACAATACAGAGAATGTCGTATTATCCCCTTTTTATTGTTATGCCTTTTTTCTGTGTAATCATTAATTATTAATATTTATTTCGCCTAATTATTACAGCAGGTTAGGTTGCAATAATTATTATAATATACAATTGATTAACAGAAAAAATTTTCATTTTGAGAAGTTCAAAACCCCTTTTTTTTCAAATTTCGAATGTTCTCGAACTCTCTTTTTTCAAAAAAAAATTTCTTGAAATCTTTAAAGAAATAATATCAAACATAACACAATTTTAAACAAATGTTCGAAATAACAATACCTGCTTCAAAAATTATATTACACAATATATTATTCAAATAAAACGCCAGACATGAAATATAATAATAAAACAACTCGGTTTCAACAGGTGGAAGAGGTGAAGGAAGTGGTAGAGGTGGAAGAGACAGTAGAGGTGAAAGAGTTGGTATAGGTGGTAGTGGTGGTAGTAGGGGCAGGACTGAGGTTGTAAATGCAAGACCAATTGAAGGGGAAGAATTGCAAAATGTGTGCAAAGAATTAGGAGAGGAGATGGATAAATGTAGTGAAGGGGAAGGGGTTTAATTATGAATCCAAAGAAGATATTTCACTTCGTATTCTAAGGGATTGTAGAAAATCGAAAAACACCTCCTTGCATACACATACTAATGCAAGAACAACACCTGCTGATGCCGTTACAATTAACAAATATAAAATTGAAACGTTAGCTGGATATCAGCAATTATCCGAACTCTTTGAACAAAAATAAAGTACATATAACAAAATCAAAAGATCTTGAAATAACTGATTTGATTCTGCAAATAATAATCAAAAGAACTTGGAAAATGTTCAGAAATAATATGGGGATGATTCGAAATGTCAAGAAAAATTAAAATATTTTATAAATTACATAATGATCTTAAGATGTTGGTAGAAGTGTGTAACAAGGTGGCTAAAGATGGGATATATTATTAATGGTATTATTTACTTTGAATTTGTAGGGATTGATTTCTAATGGTTTCTTGTATATCCAAATTATTTTAATTAACTATTTCCTTTAATTATTTTTTTCAATTATTTAGTTTCGAAAACTTTAAACTACACCAGTGGTGGCATGCACCATATCATGTGATCATATGACTTTAAACATGATCTCATGTTAACAAATATAAATGAATATGATTTTCAAGAAAGCCTTTTGAAAATGTGATTATCAAAATAAGAAATAATGTATTTATGCCATAACAAATAATACAAACCACACTTAATCATACTTAGTCATGAATAATTAACATTTTTTTTTCATGTTTCTCCTTTCACTTCTCCAACTTTTCCTTCTAACTTCTCTCATAATGAAGTCTCTCCTGAGGTGAAACTAGAAGAAGTGCTCGAAATAGAGCTATCTGATCAAGTGCCATTGAAGGAAATATGTGAAATAGAGCCATTTGACTAAAATAGTGTCTATAACCTTTACTTAACTGAAAATTTGAAAGATATTCCTTCTAGCAAGCTTAATAAAGGTAGACCACTTTACCCAGTAACAACAGAGATGATTGGATAAAACTTGAGATGTATGTAGATGTCTAGAGGTGTTGTTTTCATTAAAGAAAATTAAATTTTTTTTAAAAAATTAAGATGGCTTAAAAACCATGGGTTAGAAAAAGACTTTGCCATTACAATTACTCATAGTGAAAGAGATAAAAAGGATGGCATATCCTGATGACATATTTACGCATGTACAAGAGGCTAAAAATATATGCCAAGAAAGGAAGTGAATACAGAAGAAAGCCGTAATGCAGAACATAATACTGGCAATTGCCAATTTTTATTAATGCCTACTGTTGGAAGAATGACAATCTGGTTTATATTACAAAAGTTGAAAACTAGCATACTGTAATTACAAACTTTTTGATACCATCATCACTCTTGTGCTAGTCTTCAAAAGTTTACTCCAGAAATGCAAGATGATGTTAGATTACTTGCAACATATGATGTACACTCCAGTGTAATTGTTGAAGTGTTGCAACACAAAAATCCAGGAAAATACATTTACAATCATGATGTTTATAACTTGATTAATTCCATTTGCTGTCATGAAAATCAAAGTAAAAGTTATACTGGTTCAGTATACCTAAATCTAATGAAACAACAACAGGAAAATCTATCCTTTCATATCAATGCACAGTTTGAAGGTCAAGAAAATTATCTTGTATGGCTTTGCTAGATGTACCCAAGTCAACAACAATTATAGAACATTTTATGATATTGTTCTTCTCGACACAACTGCAAAAATTAACTGTCATTCTATAATCCTATGTGTTATAATTATTGTAGACAATCACAATTATTTCTGCCTTGTAGTAACTGCTGTTTTGTCTGATGAAACCAAGGATAGCTTTTCCTGGTTGTTCCAAAGTCTTTTAAATACAATTGGTGAACTAATGCCAGGCTTTCTTTATATTGACATTGATTGCATGATGATTGCCTCAGTAAACAGTTCCTGGCCAACAACAAAATATCACTTTTGTATATTCTATATCTGAAATAATCTTGAGAAGCATTTTATAAAAAAATACCATAGTGAAAAGTGGAGAAAACTTTTTGCAGCATTTTGCCATGTACAAAATAGTCATGTAAAGCCAATATTTGAAGAAAGATGAGCCACTTTAATAACTGAATATGCTAATGCTGCCAATTACTTGTAATAATATCTTTACCCATGTCAGGAAGCTTAGGTTCTTTGTTTTATACACCATGTATTTAATTTAAAAATACAAAGTATGCAATTTATTGAATTCTATAATGATATTATCAAAAGTCATATTAGCAGATTGGCATCTCTTATAGAGCTTGAATCTATAATTGAAAAATTATTGCAGAGGGAAAGTCAGTTCATTGTTTGAATGAAACTATTAGCAAGCTTCCTACAAGCCAAGATGAGGATTAACATAACTATTATTTCAAAAAGGTAGATGTATCATGTCAAAATTATCTGGCACTGGCAATTCTTAAGTTGCAATGTAACAAGATGAATCACAGAATGTATTATCAATGCCAAAAAGTTATTTTGACAGATGAACTTGGGAAACATATATGGATAAGAGTTTCTCTACTTATATAATATACTGCATATATTTAATCTATATATGTTTCCAAAATTAAAGTTTGAATTTTTGAGGTATTTCAACTTTTTGAGATTTATGCAGAATCTATTTTATATATGGAAGTAAAAAAAGCACCCTGTTATATATATATTTAATCAAAGAATAAATCTGGATTGTCAAAAATTTTTGGATTTTAAGTAAAATAATTTTGTTTTCTATGAAAAACTATTTTGACTTTTTTTTCTGAAATTGTAATTTTGGGACTCCAAAATAATTTTGCATACAAGTATAATTTAATTATTATCTATTTAATTTAATATATTCTATTCTACATTTACCACTATTTATTACACTTATTACACTTAAACTTATAATAATTACTATAATATCCATACATTATATCCATAATAATTGTTCCCTAATATTTACTACTTTTACAATTCCCATTTCCATCATCCATTACTTCCGCAATAATTATTTCCAACATCTGTTACTCCTGCAATCCCAAACATCTATTATACCCACAATAATTACTCAACATTTATTATTTCTGCAATAATATCATTATTCCTGTAATAATATTCCTATTTCTGCAATCTCAAATATCCATTATATCCACAATAATATTTCAACATTACAATAATTATTCCAACATCCATTACTCCTGCAATTCCAAATTTATTACACTTTTTAGACTATTTCAGATTCACCAGAGAACATTTTCTCAGAAGACATGTTCAATGCATATGTAATAGAACTTGATCAACTTTTTATGGATCTCGATCTGGCAAGAATTTGTGAATTATAACACATTTCTTCCATTGATAGGAAGAGTAAATATTTTGTAGTATTGTATGACAATGGTGCACATCTTTGTATGTGCTTAACATTGATTAACCAGGATCTCATATATTATTATTTTTTTCATCAATTGCAAAATTCCATATTCAACTTGTTCTACAATACTGGTATACAAATTCATCAGTCATGGAGGAAGATCCAAGTTTTCATTACAATCCAATGGTTTCAACAATTTTAAGTCAGAAATTCAACACAACAGAAGTCTCTAATATCAACTTTTCACACTCAGAAACTATCTGGAATAATTATGTTTTTACAAAGGAAGTTTGAAAAAGTTGTCTCAAAAACAACAATATGGAGGAGGATTTGGTATCATGAAGAAAACTCTGAATCTAGCTATTGCAACAGGTAAAGTAGAGGAGCTTTATAAAGTTCACTCGAAGTTTATTAAGAATATGGAAGCTAAAATTATCAGTTAAGCTAAGAATGGTGATATCACTAAGTTTGCTACTACTATCACCAATCCCATTGTTACCAGAAAAAAAGGCTAGAAGTTCAAAAATTCCAATTTAATTAATTTAAACATAAATTGTAAAGGCAAAAAAAAAGATGTTTGATAATAGTGACAAAGAGAACAGCTGGAAGTTGCAAAATTTCAATTGTATAAATGCAGATTGGAAAGGAGAAAAAAGAACAGATCAGAATAACAACAATGACACAGATTGAATTGAGATGTCTAAACCTGATCAGAATGATAACAATAAAAGTCCTGTGGAATTACCACATAAAAAGTTTTGAAAAATATTACATGATATCACAAATGATTTGTTAAATAAGAGAATGTGTGACATTTGCAATAAAATAAGTTATAATGTCTGAACATGTTCACAAAAGAAAACAGAGAAGACCATCAGCACTAGTTAACTTTGGGATTAGTAGACAAGAGAACAAAAGGAGTGGATTTATAATAACAATTTATTTTTTGAGATGTAAAACTTCTAAATTTTAAATTTTTTTTTAAAAAAAGAACTGACAAAAACAAAGATATATATAACAAACAAGTTATAATATACCAACATTTATTACATATATAACATGTATAATGTAATGATATAATAATAGAAGTATATCATATTAATGATGTAATATAACGTATATTTTATTAATAAAAACTTATAAACATATGCCTTATTTTATTGATAAAAATAAACTATATGCTATATATTTATTATAAATCATATGCCTTATTTATTAATTGAAAAATAAAACATGTGCCTTATTTACTACTGATATTGAACACCACTAGTGTGATTCAGCATTGTTTGTTTAGTTTAGTTAGATAATAAATTTACAATCTATTATATTATTCTGAATATTTTACAATTTGATTTGATTTTTAAATATTTTATATTAAACTTGATCAAGTAATATGCACTAAATTTAAAATTAAACTTCAGTTATAATAAATATATAAATTTCTCAATAGTATATTAAATATTTTTTAAAAGGAGCAATTAATTATATTAAATATGCAATAAACAATATGATTTTTCAACATGCATATAGTATTTATATTTAAAAAAATTTATTAAAATATTTAATGTAAAAAATAATACATTTATAAATTAATTTCATTAGAAATTCTATTATACAACAATTATCTTTCAAAAATTATTAAAAAAAAGTAATAATGAACAAAGTAATGACTCCATATTAAAATCAAAAAAAAAATTATGCTAAAATAAAATTAGACATCGTAACTTTTAATTAAAGAAATTGTATATTTAATTTTTCTTAAATTATTTTATTTCTCTTAAATATATTGTCACAACTGTACAGAGTATTTTGAATAATTTCTCAAATCAGTCTCAAAGTTTGCATCACACAAACATGATAATACATTCTATCTGTCAGTAGGTCATAGCTAATACAATCGATTTAACTGGCCTTTTTTCAAAATAGATAATAAATATATAACAAATAATAATAATAATTAAATAATAATTAATTAATCATGAAGACACAGTAAATAAGGTGGAGTAAAAGCAATTAACACAGTATCAAACAATATTTAATAATATTTCACAATATTACAACACAAGATATAAGTTTATTAAAATATAAAATATAAAATTTTTAAAAGTAAAATATTGTGGTGATCCAAATTGGTAATCAGGTGAAATGTCATGGGAGATGATAATTTGTATCACTAGATAAAAATTCAGGTAATTGTTATTCCATATGAAATGACCATATGAGGATGAAGGATGAAGTATGAAGATGACCGTACAAGGATGAAAGATGACTGTACAAGGATGAAGGATGAAGTATGAAGATGAGAAGGATGAAGGATTGTAACGAATCTACTAATTCGTTTTAGAAAATAAATATCAACAAATATTTATTAGCGAAGTTTGTGATTTATAATTAAATTATTTTACAAGACTTGCTTGTTCTTTATTAATCATATGTTATATTTATATAAAAATACATAAT